AAGAAATCTACTTTTGGACCTAACTCATGACATGAGGATTGTCCAAGACCAAGGACTCTAACAGAAAAAGAAAAAAAAACAAAAAAAAACAGACATACATAAATCTACAAGCTGAAAGATTTTATCCTTGATGATAGAAACGGAAGTACTCATCATAAGTGTAAGGTTCCCATATCCACGCCATCAGCTCGAAGTCCCAGCTAGCTTGAGTAGTGAATAATGATCCCTCCCCTCCAAATCTGAACTCTTCTGGAGGAGGAATTTCCATCCATTTTTCTAATTCCATTAATGATGGAATAGTTGAAGACAGAACCCCTACAGGATCAACATAAGGAGTAGTTTCCATTAATTTCTCTTCATCTTCAGGAAAAAAGTCAGAAAACATAGAATTAAAATCTATACCAGCATTTTCGTAACTAGTATCCCCTAGTTCACCCAAATCGATTATCAATCCGAGCTCCTCGTAATCCTTGATATCCAATGGTGGAATTTCCTCTTTCGAATTTCCAACTGAAGTACTTTTTTCCAATTTTGCCTTCATTTCCTCAGCATTTTCTATTTCTACTCTCACCTCCTCAACACCACCCTCCTTAATAACAGACCCCATAAAAATAGAGAAAAGAAGAAAACGGAGAAAGCAAAGCAAATGAAGAAAAAAAGAAGATTGTTTTGTGCTTAAAATTGAGGGAAGTAAGTGTATATATAGTGAGGAAGCAACGTTGGTGTTTTGGATTATATGCACACACTATTAGCAAGGTAGTTTTCTCTCCCACGGTATTAAAAATGTGATAACATGTAACCGTTACAATAATCAAGTATCATGCATTAAATTTAATGAAGTGTTCTACTACTATTAAACAGTAAGCTAGTTTAGATTATTAAGATTGGAATAAGGCATAGTTCAATAGTGTTTACATAAAATATTCTGAGAAATTTAAGAGATTGTTAATGTATGTTGCTTTATTTTATATTTATAATATCAGTGTATATAAGTTAAATCCTAAAAATATTGGGTAGTTTAATTATTAGATGAAGAAAAAGAGTTCAATTTTTCTTCAAACAGGTCATTAAAATTTGTCTGTAAGGGAAACCAGTGCATGGTAATTGGTATAGAAACTTGTAACGTAAATGCAAACAAAAAAAAAACCACTTTTTTTGGCACCTGATGAACTTTACATGTGAAAGGTTGTTTTTTTGTTTTTTTGGTGTTTTGTTAATTTAGAGGTTAAAGATTTTGCATGCACTATACATGTGCCTTGAATGAAGGTTCTAGAGTACTTAAAGTGTGTCAGTTTTTTTTATACATAACATAAAAGTTATGAGATAATTATAGTTTGTAATTGAGAATGAAGTTTCAAGTAGTTCAGTTTGGTGGTTCTCTATTGGCATGGGTGCATGGCGTCAGCCTCTTTGATTTTTTTTCTATTGAAATGAAACAGTGCAAAGAGATTATAAACTGCTAGTTTTTATAATATAATTGTGACTGTTTGAACATTAATTAGAAGAGTTTTTTTCACAATGAAACTAAATTTAAGGGAAGTTTATGAAAGCAAAATTTTATTTAAGGAATGTTGATCAACTCTTTTAGAAATAGTCGAATCTGGGAATAAGCACTAAGAACCCTATTTTCTTTTTTCTGGGGTCATTTCTTTTTTGGTCACGGACATCCCTGGAAAAGCACTTAGCTTCCGATTTTTCGACAGAATTAAGTTATGTCTCCTTTCTTCCATTAATTTAGAGAAAAGGAACCTAAATCACGAAGAAGAAAAAATCTGCTAATTGGGCAAATTAATGAAACTTAACTAAGATATTTAGGGCTGTCTTTATTGATTTAGAGAAAAGAAACCTAAATCATGAAGAGAAACCTATCGGGTAATTGGAAAAATTAATGAAATTAACTAAGATATCTAGTACTGCAAAGGCCTTACTAGGTGAAGATCTCCGCGGAGATGGATACAAAAACCCTAAGCAGGTGGATGGAGAAGAATCCATTTTGTACCATCTTACATAGTATTTTCAAATTGTCAAAAATTATGAAAACCCATTCCGGTGCATTTACAGAAGGCAATAAACAAAATTGATCAACTATCAACCCTGCCCCTTACATAATAAAATTGCTTAAGATGCATAAAAAATACACAAGAAAATTCAAAATCTTCCCTTTATTGCTAATTAATGTCCAAAATTTTTGTCTTCTTTTTTCTTTTTCTAGTAAACAGTTTCCCTTATTGGACATGTTTTTATAGTCAAATGATCATTCAGCTGATAAAGTTGCTGTTATTTACAGTTCATTAAGGAAAATTCAAGCCATAGCAACCACAATTTGATTTAATTGTTGATGATGATAAACAGGTTAATTGTTTTTCAAAATATACAGTTCAGCTATAACATCCTGTTAATTAAACCACATACGAACATGAATAATGAAAAAGAAATTTACACCATCAGTGCAATTCATTACAATTTACACAGTCATTGGATATAAGTTAAATCTCTTTAAATTTTCATTATGTCACAGAAGCTTACATTTGAAGCAGTGGTAGGAAATAAAAACACCGGCAGGATCGGTGTAGAAAGGACAGAAAAGGTAAGTAGGACAGTTGGTAAGTAAACAGGTGATCTATATATACACTCAAGTTCTCTGGTAGTCCTACATTGATGAAGTTTGATATGAAGAAGACAGTTATAAACATTTAAGGAAATGACAACAAATGGCTGAATTCCTATATATTGAAGACACAAGGCGTAGGGTTTTTTATGTGATTTACACATCAATAACTACTATATTTCAATTTTCCTATGATTTACCCAGATTTACTCCAGTACTCCACATATTGATGTTTACCCTAATCTACTATAATAGGTTAACTACATTGATTGTTTAAAAAATCTTTATATTGTTAGTATTTACGACTTATATCCATTAACTTAAGCATCAAAGCTATTTGCAGAAACCACAGTAGGCAATTTACAACATTTCACTGATCAACTACCTTGAGGATGCTAACTTTCTTAGACTAGATTCATGACCTTATTAGCTCGTAATCCACACACACATATGCCTCTCAAATTTAAATGATCTTTAGCAGTAGTATTGTTCTCGCTAAATTCATACATCATTGAGATCTCTGATTTATCTATACTATTTTTGAGCATGTAAGATTGCATCTAGCTTGAAATTAACAACCTTTAGCAGATGAAAATGTTGATTTCCATGGGTCTATCGAAAATAACATAACTTTTGTATCTCTATGAAATAGGGATTAGATCTGATACACACTCTATTCTCCCTAGATCCATTACGTACACTAGGTAAATGTTGTTGTAATTCTCATCTAACCTAGCAGAGGTTCCAAACCCTACCAAAACCCTCAATTCCTATTGAGGTAAAGAGACGAAAGCAACAAACAAAGATTTTTAAATCTTAAAATGCAATTTGTTCAGCCCAGAAATATAAAGTAGTAGTAGTAGTACCTGTTTGAGAATGAGATCCAAAATACTTATGCACGGACTTTTGAATTCAGGGTCTCAGCTTGATTACTGTTCCTCCATTAAAACCCCAAATTAAATACAGAAGATTAATTCACTGTTTAATGCTCTGAAATAAAAATTGACAGGGAGAACGAGAAATCACCTGAAGAGAAGCTTTAAAACTCATTTAGAGTTGCAATTTACTCGACGAGATTTGAGACCCGGCAACTTGAATCACAAGATTAGTGCCACAATTGATCGTCAGAATCAGAAATTAATCGGCCGGGAAACCGATTCAATCGGGAAACAACGGCCCACGGCTCTGAGAAACATAAACAAATTTTTGGCTAAATCTGCTTAGGAAAAAAAAATTATCTTCATCAATTTCTCCGTCCCTTTTTACTTGTCCATTTTGGACTTTTTACTTTATTTATCTTCATCAATTTATTGACCGAGTTAATATTTTTTAAAAAGGTACAATCTCTTTAATAAGTAAATTGATTTTGAAATTATATCAATTAATAAGAGGAAATGGGTAAACTCACCATTTTAATTATTATTTTCTTAATAGGTGCGTCGAATTAAAAATGGACAACTAAATAGGGACAAAGAGAGTAATAAATTAAGAGTTAATTAAATTGTAGGAGTCAACTTATTTAATTAAAGATAAACCTTTATATAAGTTACTCCATTGGTTCCTAATTACTTGTCCAATTATTTTTTTTACTTGTCCATTTTGATAAATCAAAATAAGACAAAAAAAAAAAATTATATATTATATCATCAATTAATTAATTTTGAAAAAGGTAGAATTTCTTGAAAATCTTAAAATTTTAGTTCATCCCCTTCATAATTAATAGGGATAAAATGGTAAACTTACTATATCAATTGAGTATTTTTTTCTAATAGGTGTATCAATTCAAAAATAGACAAGTAATTAAGGGAGTAATTCATATCCCTTTTTGTTTATTACGATAACATTAATCCATTTCTTTTACTTGTAAGTGATGATGATTAATAAAGTCATCCTAACTTAATTGAAATTGAGTGTAGTTATTATTGATAATGAATTGTTAATATGGATTTCAGATTAATTATGATATTTTAATATTTGCTATTTAAATTTTGACTATGTAAGAAAAAAAAAAAAACACCATCCATTTCTCATTCTGAATTAAATATTAAATGTGAGTATTTTTTATGTACCATAGTCATTAAATTAATCCATCCTATATTAGGCCAAGTCATATCCATATTCCTCCGCCAACCTGACGAGCGACCCATCACTTGTAAAATTTGGTCACTAATCAACATTTCAATTCTGATCTATAAAATTCTCTCGTCAAAGTTGTATAATCCCAAATACTTTTCTTTCTTTTTTTCTAAATTTTACACCTTCTAGAGAAGTGTTACATCATACCTTGTGTTCCAAATGACTACTCATCATCAGATCCTATGTGCATTAAATTCCTAACCCTTTTTTAGTTTCTTTCTGCCTAGAGTTTTTTTTTTTTTTAATTTCTGGGAAACGAAAGGTTCATTAATTCAGTGAGGTGCAAGAGGGTTCTGTAATGGGGAATCGGGTGAAATTTCCAGGTATTACTGATGAATTACAGAAGATGTTAGATGCAGATATGGACAACGTAGACGCCAGGCGTTGTGCTAGAGAGGCATTTAAACATATTCAACTTTCAATTGATCATATCTTATTCAAGGTATATTGTCTTGATTGCTCATTGTTAATATAAAAATAGACTTTTTGCTTCAAAGTTTGGATTTTTATTGGTATTGGTCTATGGTGCAAACTGCAAAGGGACTCAAGTATTTGTGTGTGATCATACTTTATAATAAAATGGTTCTTGCTCAATAGTAGGAAACAACTTCTCTATAGCTCTGGGAATAATAATGTGCTCCTTTTTATGTTGGAGTCATAGCTAGGAACGTATTGGACTTGAATATGCCGAGCCTTTAGAAATTCTGATCTATGGTACAAAACTACTTTTGAAAGAGAACCGTATTCTATCTACAGGAGATACTCGTTTATTCAGTATAGGACCATCCATAACAGTAATATCTATCTTTCTAAGTTATTGTTAAGTAAGGATTTATCTGGTTAAGATTGTTATAACTTTGGAAGTTTACACAGTTGAGACTTGTATACATATTTTACCTTTGTCGTCTATTGTAATGGAGGACTGAGTGTTTCCAAATGGGTGTGATATCGTACGTGGAAGTAACGTATTTCTTACTGATCGATCTTTTATGTTTTTTTAATGATTGCTTCTTCTATCTTTGCACCAGGTGCCACATGCTGGATTGAAGATGGAGGAGGTAAAGCTTATGCTCGTATTTCCTTTTTTCTAATGTTGTTGGAAATGTGTTGACGCCTTATTGCCTGATTTTCAGTACTGAACTGTCAATGTTGTTTTAGTATATGCCATTTGCGTCACTTCTTATTTGATGAACTGAGATTTAGCATAGGAATGATAGGATTCCATAAGAAGAATTAATTGGGATTTAGTTTCCTTATTTAACTGTCAACCTTCTATTTTGAATTATGAGAGAATTTCGTAATATTGGAAGGTGATATATATATGCTTGGTTCATAAGATTATAAGCTCCAAAATTTATAACATACTATCAGTAATGTAACATTCATATATATCATACTCATTAAACTTCTAAAGCAAGTGACGAAGGGGATAGTTTGGGAAAGATGACTCAAAGCGAGAAAAGTTTATTTTAGTGTACAAGTTATTGACATTTGGATGTTATAGCCATAATATTGTTGTGATTTACATTGTATAATTTTTACAACATTCTGTGGCACAGTCTTATGAGGTTAATTCTCGAGGGCTTGAAATCTTCTCCAAAAGTTGGCTTCCAGAGACACGTCCAAAAGCTGTTGTCTATTTTTGTCATGGTTATGGGGATACATGCACTTTTTTTGGTGAAGGTTTGTTGCTTGCAAAAGTATTAAAGTCTCCGACAAGTTAATTTTTTTATAAAAGAATTTGTAATGACTATCCTTATCTGTAGGCATTGCAAGGAAATTAGCATATTTTGGTTATGGAGTAATTGCCATGGATTACCCTGGATTTGGGCTTTCAGAAGGTCTTCATGGTTACATACCAAGTTTTGACCAGCTGGTTGATGACGTCGTTGAGCATTACTCAAAAGCTAAAGGTATGACTTAATTGGATAACCAATAACCTACTTCATCATTAAATGGATTCTTCTGAGAGGTCAGGCACACATAATAACTTCTCCGTGTAAATTTTGGTATTTCGACTAGCATCAAGCAAAGATAGCCGGAACATGACGACTTGACTTGGAATGTCATAGCATTTTCTTATTCTTCTTGGCACTCTACTACAGAAAAATCTGACAGTTAATAGTTGGTTGCAGAAAAGCCAGAGTTCTGTAATCTACAAAGCTTCCTATTTGGGGAATCCATGGGTGGAGCAATAGCTTTGAAGGTGCACCAGAAGCAACCTAATTCTTGGAACGGTGCTGTTCTTGTTGCACCTATGTGCAAAGTATATCTCTGGAAATGCTTCTCTATTCTTACTGATGCCTCTGATTCATATAGAGTGATAACTGGTTTTTTGTATAGATTGCAGATAATGTGGTTCCATCATGGTTACTAACACAAATCTTAATTGGCGTCGCAAAGTTTCTTCCAACGCAGAAGCTAGTTCCAACACAGGATTTAGGAGAGTTGGCAGTCAGAGATGCAAAGAAGAAAGAACACGTACGTATCACTTTGTTTTCTGTATAAAGCAGCTCTATAAGGTAATAGTTCTTAGTAGATCAGGAAAGTGATAGCTTCAAAATATGAGAGGCTAATAGTGCTTGTGCCAGGAATGCCACTGTTACCTATCTCAATTGCATTAAGTGATGTTGATTAGGACTATCTTGATTTGTTGAACATCATATTTAATTGCGCAGATACACCCCGCCCATTTCTCATATAAGATGTAACCTGTTTCTTCTGTGTGCAGACTGCCTATAATGTCATCTCTTACAAACATAAACCCCGTTTACAGACCGCCCTGGAGTTACTGAATGCCACAAAAGAGATAGAGGGACTACTAGAAAAGGTGAGTCACGTGTTTCAACTTTTCTTTGAATTAGTGTAAAAATTCATTGCCGTGTTAACTGTTTAAAGGTCTATATGTGAATATCTTCCATTTATGGGAGTTGCTCCACAGTCGGAATATATAGCCCTGTGTTTGTTTGTATTAATGAGGTTCCAGTTGTTTCTAATATTAAAAAACTTTTTATTATGTATATTATTCTTGCTGGTGTATCATCTTTTGCTCTTGTAGTTTAGGAAATACTTCTCCTCAATTAGCTTGATAAAGAGTGCCGAGAACTGTCCTTAACTGTGATAATTACAGCTCTTGTTAATTCGTATGCATATAAATGTGAATCCACTTCTGTTTTTGTACGAATCAATCTTCTCATTTATGGTCAACATTTTTTCGACCCCTTCTTGAACGAATATATTTTAGTCCTGTAGAAGTCTTTGCTAAGAGAAGGATCATCTCATTCATTGTGCTAGGTATCAAGGAAAATCAATTCTGACTTCAAAAGGGATGTTCCTTTTGATTTATAAATGGAAATTTACCTAGATTCATGAGCAACCTTATACTGACAGGGAATCGAGGCATAGTTGAGTTTCTTGGTTACTTATTTGATTGTAAAATTCCTTTGCTAGGGTGATTATTAGTGCCTGTGCCGAGGGGAATTGGACCATTGAGATTGATGTCCCTGTTACTATGCACCTGCAGGATAAAAATGTATATGATTCTACAGTAATCCAGTGTCTTTAGTAGTAAAAAGGTCGAAACATCTGTGTTTTATGGCCTCATCTATGCTACCTACCAGCATAAGCATATGATTGAGTTCCAACTTTCGTGCAATCTGCATTCATATATCAAATTGTTGTCTACATATTGATAATAGTATTACTTTACAGGTATCTCTGCCATTGTTAATCCTGCACGGAAAGAGTGATCTAGTGACCGATCCATCCGTTAGCAAAGCACTGTATGAGAGGTCAATTAGTTCAGACAAGAAACTGTTCCTTTATGAAGATGCTTGTCATGCCTTGCTCGAGGGTGAGTCGGATGAAATGATACTTCGTGTCTTTGGTGACATTATTTCATGGCTGGACGAGCATACCATCTCCTCCTAACCATTTCTGCAATTTTCGTGTTTTATGTTTGTTTGCTAATTTATCTTGTAAAATTTACATGGTAGAAAGACACCTTTGTTGAGTTGTGACTTGTACATGAAATGAAAAGCAATGTAGTCATTCTGAATTTAACTTTTCAGGACATAATCAGCTTTCTTTAATTTCTCAATGTGTTCGATACGATACAGTAAGAGAAAGAAAAATGAGAGAGCACTATATGTTGCCGTGGAGGTAGGATTTTCACCGAAGGGTTGATCTTAATTCTACTAGAAATATATATTCACCTTTGTCTAGATTTATCAATTTTGCTTTTTCCTAGTTCTTAAAAACCTTTGGAAAAAGGATAATCCGGAGAAAAGGCAAAAAGGATAAACCTGTCAGAAGTTGGACCAATAAAAAGTAAATCCAGGCTATGTAAATCCAGAATGCTTCCTTATAATGGTCCACATTCGTCTTATTTGAGATGATTTATTTATTTGTCTGGTATAAACACATGACATATAAATGGAAATTAATGGAGTATTTGTACGGCTCGCATAAAATATTAAAAATCGAATTATCGAATTATCAAATTGAATCAAAATATTTGGTAATTTGGTAACTCAGTGTTTGATATGATATTCGATAGTAAAATTTTAGAATTATGGTATTTGAATTTAGTATGAGACATTAGTACCATTTGGTATTCGGTATTTTTCGAATATCAAATTATTTACTTAATGAAAGTCATATATCAACATATTCATTACTCGTTAGTACAAGTCCAAAGAGAAAGTTAAAGAATAAGCATGAACAATCCAAATACATATATTTTTTAATTAGTTGTATCAATTTGTTTTTTATGTCTTCTTACTTATCGATCTTCTATTATATCGTGTTTCCACATAAAAACAAATAGAAATGATTGGAGAAATATTATTATTGAATGCTGTATCAAATCAAAATTTAATTTACCGTTTACCAAATTATCAAATCGAAATTTAAAATTTTGATATTTGATATCTACTTTTAACTACCAATTACCGAATTACCAAACTCAAAATTTGGAAAACCCGAGTCAAATACCGAACACCCAAGCCTAAGTATTTGATCTAAAAAATGGAATAGAGAAGTAAATGGAAGAAAAATACACACATTGGTTGAAAAGAATCATCTTTCCCGTATTTGGTTTGGATAAAGCAATAGAAATGAAAAATTGAATAAACTCAAGAGTCACATTGCGAAAATGACAATAATGGTCCCTTATGTTTGAGGCTAGTTTACAAAATAGTCTTTCAAATATGCACCGAACTATTTGGTCATTTAAATTTGTGTAACACGTTTAGTTTCCCCCAAATATTCATCAAATTCTATTGACAAGAACTATGGAAAATAAAAAAGAGGAAATAAGTGAAAACTCACATATAGAGATTAAAAAAGTTTCTTTTGGATTTTTTGTTATTTATTTTAATTTGAGGAATATTTGAAGTTTTTGTGTTGTATATTTTAGAATTTGATGAGACTTTATTGATGTTTATGATTTATTTTTTTAAAAGATCAATTATATTTCATCAAATTTAACAAACATAAACTGTTAAATATTTGATGGATACTAAAAAGTTAATTTTTTTGCTGAACCAAATTTGTTCAATGCATACTGAAGGGACTATTTTGAACCAACCTCAAACATAAGGGACCATTTTTGTCATTTAATTTGGTAAAATTCTATTTCTATTTGAAGTTGGTCTCTTTCACTCTTATATGAGAGTAAAATTCATCAACAGAGCCAGGGGTCATGATCAATTTAGATGTCATTCCAGTGAAACATCTCCTTACTGTACTTGCTAATGTTTAATTTTTATTTTCCACATGGAATGAGGATGCCATTTTTGCTTTAATTCTTATTGTTGTTGCTCTCAATTCCCATACCCATCAACCATGGCCTTATCTTCTACTTGCTTTTGTCACTCTCAATTCTCACTCAAGGTATGCCCTTTCTGCTACTCTCTATTCATAGCTTGTAATATAAGATTTTCTTCATTAAATTGGTGTTTATTGTTCTCAGTTTTTTAATTGAAAATTCATACCTGGTATGTATGTTAAACTGATACACATTGTACTGTCTGGTTAGATCTGAAGTTTCTCCATTGCTATATGATTACATTGAAATTGAAAATGAAAATTTGAGAGAAATTAAGATGCTAGTGAAGTCTTCATGTAGATAGTGCTCAGCAACTATCTATCATTTGAAGATATTTTGGCAATAGGGAGTGTTTGGAAGAAAAAACTTTGAAGAATGAGGTGCTAGTGTTTGGAGGTTTAGTGAATTGAATGTCAATCTGGTACCGTTGAATTCTCACATGTCATTTGAATTATGCTATTAGAAATTAGGCTTGGTGAATTGCATGCCATGCACATCTTCAATAAAATTAATCTATACTTGGTAATGGAAAAAAGAAAATGAGGTTTTCCAACTCACTAAGCACTACCAAGTTTGAAGCTACAATGAAATGCCAACCCTGCTAAACGATTATGCTATTAGAAGTAATCAATCTCTACTACTTACTGTAGATGGACTGCTGGACACCTGCTCTGTCGTCAAATATCCTATGTTATATCAGAAGGAACCAGCCTCCATCCTCCACACTTAAAACAATAAACCTGAACCTTTTAAGTCAACAAGTTCAGAAACGAAGAACCAAGCATGGCAATGGGTGGGGTTTCCTCGGAGGATCAAGAGTAATGTGTCAGCCTAACCTCCAAAATCTTCCACAAAGAAGAACCTACAGGGTGTCTGCTATGTGTAATCTTTTCTTCCACTGCTTATCTTTAGTTCTCAATTCGTGTCTTGCTTCTTCCTTTTTGGTTCTTTTTGGATAATTCTTGGGAATCAGCTATATGCAGTCAGGAATGTGATTATTTACAGTCATCCCATAATGATGCGCTTTAGGTTATTATGACACCTACCTGCCAACACATATGTTAATTAACAAACTAAATTCAAAAAATTTATTACGATGCTTATTAACTTTGTACAAATGCTTTTATGTGCCCTTTTCTTAACGTGCTACTTGGCTTAATATCCAAACCTACTATCCTCCTTTTAGATGAACCAGGAAAAACAAATTCAAAAAGAAAAGTACTTGTAGAAGTATAACAATTTGCTGTCTTCTTTTAATCTGGTTGATAATAGAAATTTATCTCAACTTGTGCCACATGTTCCATTGAAATCTTGTTTCTCTCATTATGTTGCTGGATTTTCTATCTCATGTCAATGAAAGAGTATTCGTACTTGCTAATGTAGATGAGTAAACTGCTAGTGTCTTACATCTTATCCCAAGAGACAGTTTTGATGTATTGTGTATGGAATATCAAACTAAATATCAAATTGATCTATTTGATTATAAATACTTATGTATATGTATATATACATATTTTTTAAGCTTCTTATTGTTTACTCTCTTTGCAAATGTTTCAGTATCATCTATTTGAACTTTTGGGACAACTGATCTCTTATTTTTACAGGGTTGCCTAGTTCTCAAGTAGCTAGTAGTGTCTTTACGCTAGGAACAGCAGGCGTTCTTCCATTTTACACCCTCATGGTTGCAGCACCTAAAGCAGAACTTGTAAGTTATCTCAGTTCTGTAAAGCAATACTCTATTTTTTTAATTTTCTAGAGAGTATGCCCTATGGGTATATTATCAACTTAAAAAGCTCTTGTTTATTTCTTTTCTTGGAAGACATCAAAAGTTATACCTGCCAAGTTCTCTCTCCTTATGTCATGCTCAAAAACAGAACTCATGGGCATGATTTCAGTTGCATTGATTTGTCATCTAATTGCAAGGTACTGATTTTGTGCCTTTCCAAGATATATTGTAATTGGGCATAATTAAATACTTAATGCAGACCAGGAAATTGATGGAAAGTGTCATACCATATGTTGTGCTCGGACTTCTGTACGCATATCTGTTGTACCTGTCTTGGACACCAGATACAATTGGGCTGATGTTTGCTAGTAAATACTGGCTTCCAGAGGTTTGTTCTTGTGTTTAACAAATGATAGTTGTCATCTTGTGCTGATTCCGTGATTTGGGTTGTTGACATTTCATTCTGTTCAGCTATCTGGTATAGCAAAGATGTTCTCCAGTGAGATGACATTAGCATCTGCTTGGATTCACCTATTGGCTGTAGATCTTTTTGCTGCAAGGTCTCTCTCTTTCTCTCTCACATACACACTTCATTATTGTATATGTGTTAGATTGTCCCATGTTAGTTGAGGAAATAGCCAATTGTCTCCTTATAAGGTGTTGCCATGTTGGACAATCCTCACCTTATGAGCTAGCGTTTGGGATTGAGTTGGAGCCAGGGGGTGGGGGATGTTTGGTTGTCCAACACTAGTTGAGGAATGGACTGTTCTTGCCTCATATTATCTTTGGCCATTTCTCAATTCATGAGCTAGCTTTTAGGATTGTGTCAGATTCAAGACCATTTTCTTAACAGTATGTTTGTGCAGCCAGTTGTTGCTTTCTGATCCTATTGGGTTGAGGAAAAAGGAGGAAGACGCCTTATTAAACTATTCTAATGCTGTTTTTTTATTTGAAACAGGCAAGTTTATCATGATGGCTTGCAAAATGGTATTGAAACACGTCATTCTGTGTCTCTCTGCTTGCTATTTTGCCCCATTGGAATTGTTATTCATCTCCTCACCAAAGCTGTACTAAGTAGTGCAGAAAAAACAGTGCCTAGAACTCACTGACAGAGATTTAACAATTGTTGCCTGTTAACGACTAATGTAACTGTGAACAAAGTGTAATTTTCATCCAACTACGAGTGTGCAAAGTTGTATATCACTGATCCAACACTGCTTGAAGCATTCAATTGATGAGCTCTCCTTTTACTTTTCAGTAAATCTAAATTCTTTTTAAGATGGCCAAACGTCAGGTTTCTTTCTTGTATCTTTACTCCTGCCAAAAGAAAATGTTTCTTCTTCTCTCATCCAATTATTGATAGGATGCAAATAAGAATTTCTCATCTCATATTTGCTATAAACATTGCCTATAATTGACTTCTAAGTGACATGAAAGTTGAAATTTGTTCTAACATCAGTGAAAAGTAACTCTTCCTAAAA